AAATGTCCTGGTTGATTTTACTACTACTAAATCGATTAGTTTGAAATTAGTTATCAGAAGTTTTGATTGCTTATTTTTAAGTTCTGTATGAAGGAAAAATATTTCATATTTGCATATTTAATCAGCTTCTCATATGTGAGGATGTGCTGTTCTTTCTTTCGTTCTTCAAGTTAAACACTTTTTTGACTGTTCACCAGACAAAATAAGGACCTTTAGTGTTCAGCTTTTTGGAAGTGTAATTGTCTAAACATCTCAATGATTCGATTAAAAATGAAGCAATAGTGGATTAGTTGACAAGCAGAAAATAAATATTGTTTTCGTGAATTTCATTTCATTTCATTCTGTCTTCAAACAAAATTGCAAAACATCACCAAGTTCTATTGTGATGATTTGCAGCTTTTAGAAAAAGAGATCGATAGATAGTATTTTAAATATCATTCGGGTATAGACTGCTGGTTGTTTATCGTCATTTTATACACCAAACTGATTATATGCAGATTAATCAGTAAAGAATATAATGGTGAATTCTAATGGTAAAACGATTCTCAGACTTTTTGCTGAAACAGCAAATCCAATTGGTTTTGACGATAATGCGTGGATTTTTTTTTTTGTGGTAAAATTTCCTGAGGTGACTTTTTTTCACTGCAACATCCATAAAAAGCCTGTTTCCTCGGACAATCAGCCAAGCTGTTAACATTTTCATGGATAGTTTGCACTTTGCCAGCACTTTCAAATACACACAGTTTTTCTGATTTCTAACTGATTTTCACTTTTACTGACACATCTCTGACTCTCACATGCAGCGTCCCTTAATGTAAATTCATCTTTAAGGGAAAAAAGGAAGTGGTCTAGTTGGAATTATCTTTCTCGTCCTTTTTCTAGTAATGATGCTTCTACGGGAAAGTGATATCTTCTACAGCCACACTCTGCCTCTTATTAGCCAAGAGCCTACAATTATTAGGCCACTATACTTGTGCTTATAGCCCCCTTCCACACACACACACACACACACACACACACACACACACACACACACACACACACACAGCCTGGAGGAGAAAAGCAAGTCTCATTAGAGAAATGTGTGACACCTTACTTCCTGGCATTATCTGCAGTGAGCAATGCTTCTTGAACCTGTGGACATCTCACTCTACTCAACATGCATCAAAATGTGGCAAATGGAAACATACCCTATGTCCTTAGACTTAATTGGAGCAGGGGTTTGGTGGTTGTGTATAGTCAGATAGTATATATACAGTATAATGTGTATGACCTATGTTATATTTTCTTATTATCTCTGCTAAGGGGGTCATGTCTTCACCCCTGTCCATTAGGTAGTGGGTTTGTTTGTGAGCGATTATGTGGAGGGGTGTTTTTTTTTTTTTTTTTTTTTTTTTTTTTAGACATCTTCTCTGGTTTCCCAGGAAATAATTCATGGATCTTGGTGTTGTAGAGCGACTGAATTAAAAGGGACTATGAGTGCCATTTTAGTTGATGATACAATTCTGTTATTTTATTTATAGCAGCTAACATGTAGCTTTGTGCAGCTTGTACCGTGGTAGTAGTACTTACTGCGCGCATGTCTGAGCAAAATTTCCATCTATTATCAATACATATAGCTGATATGTTGGTTTATTAACACATACAGACATTAGCATTTGCTTTGTCAAGCTTTTGATCACCTGACTGATCTGAGACCAGTATTCTCTCTGTTGCTATGTTGGTGCTCCTCCACAACCTCTTGATGAAAATATCTGTGAGTTCCTCACTGGGTACGATCTCCTTCACATTTCGCCGTTTGTTCCTTCGTTAACCTAGAAGTATTGATTTGAGCAGCTTTCAGTTTCAGGATGTTTGTTAGCTCTTAGCTGTTCTTCCTTTCCTTTCAGTTGGCTGTAAAATGTTGCTGTGCTGTCTCCACATCCATCAGCTGTGGGTTTTGTTTGTCAGCACTCATGACAGGAGAGTGCTCCTTGAGGTAACGAGGGCATTGTGTGTCCCTCGCAGTGCCCACTGTCAGAATCCTGTGTCCGGCTATTTCCAGTCTCGCTCCTCCGTCCCTTTCCTCATCACCATGGCAGCAGAGTTTGGCCGAGCTGAGGCCGACTCTGTGGTGACTGAGGGCAGAGGTGGGGTGGCGGGATGGCTGGCCCGATGTCATGGGGGGGGGGGTCTTTTGATGGGATCAGCCTTCAGGATGTAGAAAGGTCATTTCGTCGGTTTGTTTTATTCATTGATCTCAGCTGCAATCATCTGATTTGTAGCTGTTGGCACAGTGAGGAGGAAATTATGAGGTGTAAGGTTGAACTGAAGAAGACGGATCAGACTTTCTGGTGTAATATTCTATAAGTCAATAAAACAATTTACTGCACAAACTCAGTGAATTTGTAGAAAAAGCTTTTGAAGTAAATACATTTGATTTTGCAAGAGTCGTATGAAAAACATCTTGTGTACGGCTGCTGCAGAGTTGAATCTCAGGTGGTACGACAGTCTTGATCTTGAAAACAACTAAAAAAACATCTGTGATTGTGAGAAACAGAATAAATGTGAAAGTGTGTGGCTCCCGATTTTGTGTGTGCACAGTGAAAGTAGTGTTAGAGCAGCAGCGTCTCTCAATGGGACTTCCAGACTTGTTATTTAGAGCAGCAGACTTGAGTCGATAAGCCTTTGCTGGTAAATTGGATTGGCTTCTTCAATAGTTTCGCCCATCAACTCCTGCAGGTGTGTGTGTGTGTGTGTGTGTCCATTGTGATGATGTTTGAGGAAAGGTTTGGACGGTAAACAAAGGAGAGAATAGAAAGGTAGAAGGAGGGAAATCCCCACACAGCTGACACACTGAGCAAAGAGAGAGACGGGAGGAGATTCAAAGAGAGGACTGTTTTTAAAAAGAAATAAAGAAATAGACAAAAGAAAGACATGGCAATAAGCTGGCAGGCATGAGGCAGAGTGTAGGAAAGGTGACATGAGGAGAGTTTGTGATTCCAGGAGACAGAGGTTGAAGGATGGAATACACCTGAACCATGCGTGTTAGTCTTATCTAGACTTAAGGCCATGTTCAGGTTCCAAATTTTTATGATCAGGGCAAAGGGTTTTCAAAAGGTGCCATGCAAAATTATAATTTATTTCAATTAGTTTATTGGAAATATGTCATGGACATGCCTGACTGAAGAATTGAGGAAAAGACTGAAAAATACACAAAAAAGTGTTTTTTTTACCTCTTTGGTGTCAAAGTCCATGATAACTGCAAACCAAGGCAGCCTGACTCCTGATTAAACATATGTATATAAGAGTTGTGACAAACCTCTTTAAACATGGTTTGACCTGTAACCCCCTTTTTTCCCTAACGTTCCATGTTTCCCCACATGGAGAATAAGAGGCAGTTTGTCAGACGTGCAGCCAAAACATCCAAAAAAGGAATCCGAAGGTTGTTGGGTTCACCATTTGTAATTTATTGCAAAATAAACAGAATAGGAATGATGGTATCTGTGTTCCCCTGCCCCTCCCCCCCTTCATGTACCATGCTCACTAAACTTCTAGATTAGCTTCTGCCCTCACCGCCTGAGGAAGGTGCAAGCTTGCAAATGCAAATAAATCAACAGTAAATAATGTGAATATAAATAAACAACACGTATCCTACACCGACCCCTACTTGTTCCCTATGGAATCGATTACTTAACAACAACAAGGAGCCGTAACATTACAGTAGCCTTGAATTGTACATGCCTGACACCATTTGACATTAAATGCCACATCTGCACAGTGTTTTAATGTTTAAGTTGTGAAACCTGAGGAAAGATTAGGAAAAAAAGTTAATGAAATGAAGAAAGACAGGTCAGTATGCAAGGGTAGGAAAGAGAAGGAACTTGAAGTGAGGATGTAAAAGACAGAATAGGTTCGGACAGGACATCAGCTTTGTCTGGATCATGACGCCACATGTACGTCCCCAATTCTCGTGATCTGAAGATCTGTCAAATTATCATGTTGGATTTGTGAGCCAAAAAGAAAAGTCTGTCATTTTCAGAAATCCTGTCTAAAGCTGTGACGGAATAATGGAGGAGGAGAGCTGGGATGAAATTGGGCAGAAAGGCAAAAACAAATACATATTGAACACATGTCAAGACAAAGGTACAAGGTAAAGGTACCGTGACTTTCTGCTGATTTCACTGCTCCGTGTGAGGTCCTGACCTGGACGGCTGGGAAAAATCTGAGAAAGAAAGGAGGAGATGAACTGAAAGAGGAGAAAAGGAGGTTGGTTGAGAGGTTACAAAAAGAAGATTTCAGAAGAACGGAGAGAAGATGAGAAAGGAAAGGAGGTGAGAGAGGACAAGGACAGAGGTGAGGAAAGCAGTAGGTAATAGAGAGGAAAGGAAGCACAGAGCAGGCGAAGATAAGAGAAGAAGAAGGAGATGAGACAAGACAAGAGGAGTGACGGGGAAGAGAAGTGTCTCTCCTCCAGCTTCCAGCCACAGGCTTTTGTGTCTATCAGTTTGGATTACACACTCCTGCCTCGGAAAATCCATGTCCGCACTCTGGTTTACACAGCTCGGGTGTTTGCTTTCTTTTCACCGCCAAAACTTGTCACAGTTGGAAGTGTTTTAAGTGCGTTTCCACCGAGTCAACACACTCACGCATGACTATGCTTTGAAAAAGAATCTCTCCTTTCCTTTCCTCACTCTCCGTTTGATAAGAGGAGGAGATTTCATGCTGGAGCTTCCTGGTGTGTAATCTTTGGCAGAGCAGGAGACTTCCTATATGAGAAGGATTTCTGCAGATTATAATAAAACCAAACATGGAGTAGTAGACCCATTGTGAAGTCAAATGTGCTGGAAATATGCATAGCGTTGCAAGTGTTCCTCCCTAGAAAGCTTATTAAGGGCAGCTGGATTCCCCTATCTTGGTTTTAAAGTCCTGGCTGTTGTACTTGAAGAGTAGAGAAGTGGAGAGAAATAAATTATGAAAACTAAAAATGTGTTTTTTCTCTTCTATTTGTGTTTGAGCAGATTGAAGAAAAGCTGAGAAGAAAAGGAACAAGGCGACTGTAACCAGGCAGGAGCAGGAGAGAGGGGGGGATTCGGGTTTCTCTGGTAAGTTGGAATCATTTTTTTCTCTGTTGGAATACATTTTTTCCTCCTCATACGATCATCTCCACCGGCAACGTCGTTTTCCAAAACAGCGTGAACTTCTTGTCCTTTCGGAATCAAACATTCTTGTTCTTCTCAAAGACATTTCCCCTCCCGTAGGATGTGGACACACACAAATGTCAGTCTGTGTGCCCGTGCCTAACAAGTGTCTGCCGTCCAAATATCTTCATCCATGACGCTGCCAGAGCCTGAATGTATTCATGCTGACGCTTTCTCTGGAACTCCTAAGTCACGGAACATCTTTTAAACCGTTCCACCATACGACTCTTCTTCTGTGTGTCTCTGTTGTGATGCCTGTTCTTTAGTCCTGTCTGTAAAGGCAGAGGTCACCACTTGCTTCACTGGCATTTGTCCACTTTGCAAAGTGGTTTTTTGTCGCAGCCTCCATTTTGGCAGAAGGTTTGGCAAGGAATTTTTAAAAAACAACTAAAAAACACTGGCGTTTCTAGTGTTCCAACTGTTAATTTGATGCATATGGTCGTCAAGGTAACACTCCCCCTGCTTGTTCACTGCTGCGACAATTGGACGTCAACACTTAGAAATCACAAAATAGCTCTTGGAGACTAAATCTGGCCATGTGCCGCTCTCTTATTGACACATAATGTGTCGTAATGGAGCTCGCAGGGGTAGGAGAGCTGCCTAATGGCAGTCGCACAATTAAGAGCTAAAGTATCTGTGTGCATTAGAGCCCAGAGAATTGACTCTCAGCTCGCACTCTTTTTTTTTTTTTTTTTTAAATGACCCTCTGTAACCTTTGGCTCAACCCCTCATCACAGCGGTGCAGGAGAGTGTGTCTGTGATGCGGCGAGGACTTAATCTAATGCTCTGTGAGTGGAGGTGACACGGTGCGATGTGCATCCACCTCCCTGTGGAGTGTGAAGGAAGGATCCCACCCCGGCCCTTGTTGCACACCAAGCTGAGAAGGCACTTGAACGACTCTGCTGTGTGCTTGTTTTATTTTTTGGATGATTTCTCCCCCTGCTTTACCTCTGCCTGTCCGTTGGTTTGTCTCTGAATCTCTCATTCTTCTCTCCTCATGTAGTTGCCCCGTGGCAGTGGGTTGTTGTTGTGTGAATGCGCGCTGCCTGCCAGAGAGGCTGAGTCCACAGTTTTCAATGGCCGAGTCATGGAGGGCCACACGTAGGAGCTGTGCACTGAATTTGCAGTTTGAAACACAGTGAGGCGTGAAGCATCCATTGTGATCAGCGGCATTCAGGATCCCCGGCCCTTCAATGGAAGGCTGCAGAGGTTTCTGTTTACCTCCACACTGCTGCCTTTCACTGGTTGCTCTCATGAGGCTGGCAGGGAGTGTGCTATTATCACTCATGTTGGTGTGTTTGGATGCAGAGTGGGGGAGGATGGGAAAAACATATATGGAGGATCGCTTGTCCAGAAATAGCACTACATGAGTCTGGCTTTTGACTTGAAATCTTATCAGTTACATAATCGTATACAGCGCAGTCAGAAAGTATGTGAGAACTATGATGTAGTTTCCTCTTTATCCCAACACCTTGGATTAGAAGTGAGAACTACGAGGTTTAAGTGCAACCTTCTAGTTTTATAGGCATTTGATTTTGTTGTCAGCATTATTCAGTGCATATTTTACACTCACCATCTTTAGAGCCAACACATGGAAACGGCAACCAGGGTGTTTTATGGCCAAACTCTTGATTTCAATTCATTAGACCTCCTCACCTGATCATGTGTCTCTGTAGACCAGACTGACGGCAGGTGGCTGCAGTACAGGCCTGGCAGAACAACACCAGGGGACGATGCCAACCATCTACTGATGCCTGTGTCTTTTATCCGGGCACTGACTGCAGGAAGAATAGGCAACTGAATTTTTAGTATCATGAGTCATTTCTATTTTTTTATTGTTGGAGCAGCCCGGTTGCCTAGAGGCTGCAGTGTCTCCACTTGGACTCGGCTGTCTGTGCATCATTGTTGTAAGACCTTCCCAGAGACTGCGTATAAAGATGGTTGACATGACTGGTCCCCAAAAGTGAAGCGTCTCAATCGCCACCTGGTGGCTAGCTCCTTTCAAGGTCATAAATCCTGCCTCCTCCATGTTAGTGGTTAGGACATGGCACAAACTAAAATGTACAGAGATAGTTATTTTAGGTTGTTCTTAATTCTTCATTTTCTCGATAAGTTTGGTTTTAATTGATTATTTGATGCTATGAAAGCGGGGTTGAAATGTCATGATTGACAGCTGAGACTGTTTCATGATTGGTCGAGCATGTGTTTTGACGGGACCTCACCACCATGGCTCCACAACCAGAACACTACTGCGAAGACTCTGGCTCCAAATGCGCAAGATGGCAGTGGTAGAGTCTGGTATATTTTTGCTTCATTACTAGATGTTGGGAGGAAGTGGAGACACATTTTCATGTTTGTACTCATCGTTGTTCATTCTCTGCCTCTCTGCTCATCTAAGATGATTAGAAATGTCCACATGACTTTAAAACACTATCATAAGTACGTACAAATGGTTTATAACACTTTGTTACATAAAGAGCAGGGAAGGGAGATCTGATCACAAGTAGTCACAGGAGACACATTCAGGATGCATTCTCATCCCAGGTGTGAACACATGTACTTAACAGTGACTTAACTGGTGATCAGATCTCAGGACGAACACTAAGGTCTGAACCGGTCTTCATTAACCATAGGTGTGAAGTGTGAGAGTGAAAAGTTGTTTGTCTCTGTATATCGACCCTTTGATGGGCTGGGGACCTGCAGGTTGCACCCTGCCTCTCACCCAATGTCAGCTGGGAATTGGCTTCAGCCTCTCCACAGGTCACGACCTTAAGAAAGGAGAAGTATAGATGATGGATGGATATTTTGTCCACTGAAATCGGGACGCTATAAATAAGTATGTAACTCCCACAATAAAAACTGGACTGAGCCAATGACCCCTCCTCTACATTAATACCCCTGCAACTGAACAGTGTCATCATCCACTTTGAATGAAGCAGCATTGTTTCTCACACACTGAGAAAGTAAGAATGATGTTACGCTGCTGCACTTCTGAGATCAGACCAGTTGCAGATGAATAGAGGGATTCATGCACACACACACACACACACACACACACACA